CAGAGGACAACTTTCAGGAGTTGGTTCTCTCCTATCACATTCCCACATGGGTCCTGAGGATTGAAGTCAGGTTGTCAGTTTTATCAACAAGCACCTTTGGCCGCTGAGCCAGCTCCTGATTTTTTAAGTTTTAAAGAATATGTTTATGGGGAAGAAGGTCAAAAGATAATATTGATTCTATAATTTAACAAACATGTTTGTAACCTAGGCATCCTATGATGGATCTTGGGACTTCACAAAGGAATAAAATACATCTCACACATAATTGTTAGCTGTCTCAGTTTTTTGGGGGGGGATTGTGGGAGCTCTGTTTGTAAGACTTTCAATGCTAAAACTGGGAAAGTCCTACAAAAGTTAAAATGGTTACCCTAGCTGTTCCCAAGGAGCTCATAGGGCAGAAAGGAAATGAAACAAATGCACATCTGTGAAATTCTATGCTACATGAATGGGAGTTTGTGTTCTATAGTACTTTTGGTAAGTCAGGTTTTTAGGTTTGTGCCTATCTTAGTCCATTCATGCTGCCACAACAAACTAACCAACTGGGATGCATAAACAACAGAAATTTATTTCCCACAGTTCTAGAGGCGATAGGTTCCTGCAGATTCAGTGCCTGATAAGGGCTGCTTTCTGGTTCATAGACAGAGCCTTCTTGATGTGTCCTCTTATATTAAGTAGAAGGTGCTAGCCACCTCTCTGGGGAAGCACTAATCCAAGCCACTAGAGTTCTGCCTTCCAGATCTGACCACCTCTCAAAGGCCTCCTCTTCTAATATTACTAATGCAAGCGTTAGACTTTTAACATTTGCATCTTGAAGGGATGTAAGCTTTTAGTCCATTGCAGCAGCTTTACATGGATAAACTTCTTGAATCACATAATAGTCATTGTAACGTAGGCCTATTACCCTCATTTCATTAACAAGAAATTGAGGCTCCGTTAAAGGGCAGATCCAGGATTCAAACACAAGCAATGTGGATCTGTATCTGAACACTCCCCTTAAATGGCCTAAGACAGAAGTAACACAGAGGGTGAGTGGCTGACATTGCCATGACAGGAAGTGATTGTGGGGAAAGAGATGGTGGGAAAGGGGTCAGAGAAAGTGACGCCTAAAAATGATTTTGAAAGACCAATGAGAAATTAGCTAGCAAGAATAGAAAAACACAGTCCCGGTGGATCAGCCTATGTCATAGTGTGACTGGTAGACCCATGTTGGAGGGAGAGACCTTTGGGCTCTGACACATGGTGGTGCATTTCATCAGCTGTATAAGAAACAGGAAAGAGGCCTGGAGAGGTAGCAGGGTCAAACCATTCAGAGCCTCACACATAGGCTAAGGAGCAAATATATTAAGTTGTGCATAAAGGGGAACACCACAGACCCTTCAGTGACGGATGCATCAGTCATGCTGACCTGATCATTGTGCATTATACACATAGACTAAAATGTCATGCTGTACTTAGTACATACGCATAATTGTTACATGTCAACTCAAAATTAAAATATGTATTCTTAAAAAGTTGAGATCTGCATTTTTAGAGAATTTGATAGGAGCCAGAGGATTGTTTGAAAAGGAGGTAGTATGGAAACGATGTCAAGGAGCAACCATGTATGAATCTCTTGAGAAAAGCCCGCAAGAGCTGGTGACTATGGAGCTAACCAACTGCTTTCTGATTGGATTTAAAGCACACGCCACAGGAAGAATCTATACCTGTTCAAAAGCATATTCAAAAGCCCTTACATGTAGAGGTCATAGACCCTGGGGGGGAACCTGCTGCTGTTGTTTCTCAATATGGACATGAATCAAACTTCCTTCTAAATATTTGTTTATTCCAATAAATTAGTGCTGCTCTCAGTCTTAGTCAGAGAAGCTTCTGTTTGAAGTGAGTGATGGTTAATGCAGAGACTCCTGAGTGGTGAAAGCTCAGAGAATAAGTTGAAATGAGACACTCACCCTCTCCAAGGCTCAGGGCACATTAGGGAAGATGGGGTGGAAAGAAGGTAAGATCCTCCGGAGGTTGGAAAGAGTGCTATGGAAAGCTGTCTTCTGGACAGGGTATGGCTATGAACTTACAGAAACTGTGGCTACCTGCACAAAACTGGGCCCATCAGCATTCCATCATGGAGGAGAAAGAGGCTGATAAGCCCCACCCCTCCCTGAGGAGCTTTAATGACTGATAGTTGCTTAGGGAAGTGCAGTGAGATTCCTCAGTAGTATAGCCATTGGTAAGATGCTCTTGCTCAAGTAAATAACAGCCCTGCCCCCGCACAAGCAGGTAACTCTGATTAAATGCAGTGGGCCACAAACAAACAAACAAAGACAGACAGGAAAATAGGAGGAGACTTGTTGGGAAGCAGAAGGGGATCAGTGGGAAGGGGAGGAGATAAGAGAGGAGAATGGGGGAAGAATATGATCAAAGTACAATATATGTAATTAAGTTGTAAACGAGCAAATAAAATGAAAATGAAAGGAATGTAAGAGAAACACGATAGGTTTTTTTAAAAAATATATTTTGTTGTGCAAAATATACTTAGCATAAAGTCGACGATTTAAACCATTTCTGTAGCATTAAGAACACTTGCAGTGTTGTGCAGTCATCTGCATCATTGATCTTGAGACTGTTTTGAGAAACAAAATGTGTCCCAATTAAATACTAACTTCCCACTTTCCCCAAAACATGAGTTTCACAGAGATAGATCAGTGATCTGTTCTTCTGCATGTGACTCTCAGGGTCTACAGAAAATGTAGATAGTATTGTCAAATGTTCTATCAAAAGAAGGTGAAAGCTTGACCAGAAGGTTACTCACTTTTCTGATCCAGAGTGAAGTAACTCTAAAGGAAGTTCATGGAGGTAGGAATGGAGTAAACAGAAAGCAGGATAACCAACACAACAACCATTCAACATTATCGGAGTGCCTTTCAGCTTAAAACATGAATGCATTCATGTATTGGAAGGGACAATGGCTAATTCATTACTCCTTTTGAGAATGTTTGCATTTTCTAAAAGACAGAAATACCTAGAAATATCTAATGATCTCCAATGAAATAATTTCAGACACCCTGATGCTAGAGTGAGACTGTTTATTGGTGGTCAAAATATCCTTTAATATTAAATTTAATATCCTCAAATTATAGTGCATTTGTAACTGCAAATTCCCTGTGCGGGGAAATCTGAGCAACTGAGAGTTGGATACACATGGATGCTACCCACATTCACCTCCCCCCCAATACCTACATGTTTCTTTCAAAACATTTAAGACATTTAGGATCTTGGGATCATGAGTATAGCAAATTAATTATGATTGATGACTATTGGAAAAAATCATGATGAAATGCCTTATTTAGTTGAATTAGAGTTTTTTTCAAATGGCACTTCTCTGCTCTGGCTTCCTGCTGGATGCTCTGTATCCCTTAGAGGAGAGGAGGATATAAAGCCCCAAGTCCCCAGATACATTGTACTCCATGGTTTCTGATGACTAAGGCGGTATGAGCAGTGACACACTAACATGCTTAGCATAACATTGATGACTTAAATAAACCACTTCTGTAGCGTTAAGTCCATCTGCAGTGTTGTGCAGCCATCTGCACCATTGGCTGAAACCAGCATCTCCTGAATACAACTGAGCGTAGTGTGTCTTCTTCCAAAGAACCGGGAATGGGAGGATGGAGCAATGGCAGTCTAGGGAGCCTAAAGGGATGTTTCAGTCTGGGAAGCAGTGAAAGCATGCATGCACGCTACCCCTGCTACCGCGCCAGCCTGCTAACAGGTTGGCGGCTCTGTTTCCTTCCTATTCAGATGCCATCGTTTGTGAAATTGTGAAAATAATTTTGGAGAAATGCCTTCCTCTGTGATGGAGTAGTTCGGGCATCTTTTTGACTAGGAGAAACTTCACCCATCTCTCAGATTTCCTGACTTTGGTTTTTATTTGGAGAATCCTGCTGCTCCCTGTTCTAACATCATCCATCTTTGTCAGCACTCAAGGCCACAACCTCATCTGAGTGGCCAGTGATGTACAGCAGAGAGAGTGCACCAGACGTTAAACTCTCTGTGACATTTATATGGACTCTGAACTTACCAGAGATGGATTGAGGCTGCCATAAAGTCTTGTGGTACCCAGGCAAACATAACTAGGGAGACCAGCTGAGGGAGAGTAGGAAAAGTAATAGCTTTCTCCATTTCCTTCTCCCCTTTGCAGAGGTCAGCTTACATCTTATTTAGGAAAGAGGGAGGTAAGTGAATATGGGAATTTTTGGAACCCAGTAGGGAAGCAAACTCATCCTCGAGTATCAGTAGTTCTCTTTGTGGCTATAGTCACACCAACAACCAACACAGGCAAAAGGACACATCACCTCACTTTGAAGCCAGTGCACCCTACCAGCCAGATATCTTAGTGGAATAAAGAAAAAACAGAGGATAGACCATGACCTTGAATGCATGGCCATCATGTTACCCTGGCAGGGATCCTCACGGTCACAGACCTCACATGATTTCTGAGTATGTTGGCCCAGGAGGGACAGAGTTCTGACCTCACACTGTATGCCAAGACTGCAAACTAGATCAAAGGCAGCAATGTGCCTGAGTTTGGGAACAGGATCATCAGCATGGTGGGACCCATTTACTTGATCCAACAGGTATTTAGCAAGGTATTCAGGAACGTGAGTGAAAAATGATTTCTATGACAAAACAGTTATTTAACTTTTGATTGCTAATGCTAATCAGTTACGCAAGCTCTTCATGTGACTAAGCTCACTGCAAAGAAAATGCTCAATTGTTGGAAGGAGGCCTCCCCCACCCCCTTTCTGGCTGCTCAGTGGCTGTGTATGCGCTACCACAGACCACTGTGTGTGCCTGCCTGGTCGCGTTCTTCACAGACCGTCTGCAGCGAACTTCGGAAGATATATATATATATGATTTAAACCACAGTAACACAAACACATTTAAAAAATCATCAGTGACTAAGGAAGCTCCACATTTATACATGAAAGACAGCAATAAATTTGACTTACCAGCTTAGGCTGTTAGAGGCAGCAGAGGAACAAGTTGTTGGTAATTGTCCAGTGCTTTCATTCAATAAATCACATTGGCTCTGCTTTCTCCTGTAGCTCACCCTCTGCGCGAAGCAAGCGAACCTCCTTCCTATTCTGTGCAAAGAATAAAATGCGAACAGGATCACTCCAGGCAAGAGCTGAAGTCCATGATCACCAAGCTGCTCCCAATGCAAAATAAAAGCGTAAATGATGCATGGGGAGAGAAGGGGCGAGGAAAATAGCTTGGCTCGAAATTAAGGTGTGTTCCTGGGTCTGCAGTGGGGAAGGCTGGCTTTCCCACGCCTCTGTGTGTGTGCGTGCGTGTGTGTGTGTGTGTGTGTGTGTGTGTGTGTGTGTGTGTAATAGAAGGGTACCATGAGTTCAGTGTGTGTTTAGCCTATTGTACCATTCAGAACAGCACACGGGAATGACAAGCTTTCTGGCACACAATGCTGAATCAGAACCAACTGTCACTCGGATCCACAAAGGGACAGCGAGGCAGTCAGTCAGCTCTTCACCAAATCAGTGGTGGGGAAAAATGATTACCAGTAACTAAGAGCCCATCTAGCGTCTTGGTTTCACAGCTGAGTCTGGAAGTGCGCAGGTGGCAGGCACATTCCCTCCCTGCTGGGCACCTGTGTCTTTCCTTTATAGACTCCCAGCAGGTGAGGGGCCCCTTAAGAGAGTTGGGGTGCTCAGCCTAGGATCAGGTTTTGAGCAAGTGTGAAAGCGTAGTTATCAGATGTGGACCTAAGACCCCAGGAGGCTCAGCCTCCAGAGGAAGAGTCCAAGGCTGTTTCTGCGTCAGCCACATATGGGTGCACCTGGCTCCCTCCCTAGCGCTGTGCTTCAGGTGACTAAGCGCATGGAACGGATTTCCTAGAAAGCAACACATGTAGGCATCTCTTACATTTTCCTCTCCAGTGAAAAGCCCAATGACTTTTGCACACTGCTGGCTATGTTAGGACGGCCTTGCTGCTGAAGAGCATATATGCAACATACACACCCCTGCATACACTTACATGTGCACACACATGTACATGTACATGCATACAGTACTGTTCTAGTCTGTTTCTCCATTGCTATGACAAAATACTCTGACCAATACCAACTTGGGAGGAAAGGGTTTATTTTATCTTATATCTCCCGGTCACAGCTCATCCAGGAGCCCAAGGTAGGAAGGGCAGGAGCTGGAGCACAGGCCATGGAGGAAAGCTGCTTACTGGTTTGGTCCCCTGACACCTGCTCAGCCTGCTTTCTTATGCAACACAGGCCCACCTGCCCAGGGGTGGCACCACCCACAGTGGGCTGGGCCCTCCCACATCACTCAACAATCAAGAAGATGCCCCTCAGACATGGCCACAGGCCAGTCCAATGGAGGCAATTCCCCAGCTGAGGCTCCCTCAACCCAGGTGTGTCAAGTTGACACTAAAGCTATCCAGCACAAGTACACACACAAAGTCACACACATGCATATACACATGGACACATGCACACACAGAGATGCACACACAGGTGCATACATATGCACATACACACACATAGCCCTAGAAACAGCATTAAGCATCTTTGTAAAGCTCTATACAAATTCCCTGTCTGCCACATGAATGCTTAGCTGCTGTAATAGTTCAGATACAATTTTGGACTCTGACTAGACACTGAGTCTGCTTTCTTGTTTACGTTCAAAGACAAGTTGGTCTCTCAATTTTGAATGTGGGTCTGTAGCAAATTAGGGGAATGTTTCTTTGTCATAAGAGGAAGATGGAGTGTTAATCTTTGGCCTGGTCCTGTCCTAGGATCATAAGAATGGTGTCTTGTATTTCTGAAAATTCTCCCCCTTTCTAGAGACGTTGTCCTCTGCCTGCCAGCTCTGATGAGTGGCAGGTGGTTATTCTGGAGACAGAGTCCAAGGTAAGAAAGTAACTCAGAAAGGGCTGGGGATGTAGCTCAGATGGTGGAATGCTTGCCTTGTATGTAGTTGGATCCCTAGCACTGCATAAACTGGGCATGGTGGTGCACACCTGTAATCCCAGACTTGGAAGGTAAAGAAAAGAGGATCAGAAGCTCAAGATTATTCTCAGATACATAGGGAGTTAGAGGCCATCCTAGGCTATGTGAGATGCTGTCTTTTAAAAAGTGACTCAGAAAACCAGAGAACCTGGATGTATAAAGAAAGAGCTCAGCTAAGCTTAGCTTTCCGCCATTCTACTTTTTCTATTTTTATTAGAGTTGAAATATCTCTCTGGAACATTTATCCTCCCTTTTTTAGTTTAGTGTTGGGTAATGGGGGTGGAGGTGGGTGGGTGCACATATGTCATTGTGCATGTATAGAGGTCAGAAGACAAGTTCTTCTACCATGTGGGTCCTGAGGATCGAACTCTGGTCTTCAGACTTGGAGACAGGCACATCTACCTGCTGAACCATCTTGCCAGCCCTATCCTCCCTTTGGATGTATCTGTCCATGGAACATTACTGTGAATAATCTAATTTGGGAATATTCATGCCTGTGAAGGTCAGAAGGCTATTTTTTTTTCCATTAAGGATTAAGAAATCACCAAACTGCTTTTTGGCAGCTTAAGTCTAAATGATTCCCAGGTAAAAAGATTTACCATAATGTCTAGACGAACTTTGACTTTCATACAGATTTACTTGCATTCAATCTGTTAGGGTAAGTGAGGTGACTTTGAGTAAGTCTACCAAGGTCAGGAACTGCCTGTGGGGGTCACAAATACGATCTTCTAGGTCAGCCTGAGGGGACAATGCTTCTTGTCATAGTAGCACAAGGTCCAGGAGCAAAAGCATGCTGAACATCCTTAATCTAAAGACTGGGAGTTCCAAACACTCTGAATGAAGACCTTTTTGAGTATAGGTGCGAAAGCAGCAAGAGGAGCAATTTACACCATGAAGCTATGTATCACGAACAAAATTATTAAAAATATATAAAAAACACCAGGCATTTTGGGTAAGGTATATGTGAAACATAAACTTTATTTCATATTTAGATTTGACTCACAACCCCAAGATACCTCATTCTATGTATAGTACTGTTTCAAAAATCCAAAATCGGAAACACGTCTAGTCCCAAGCACTTTGAGTAAAGGATACTTAAACTACATACAGTGTCAGGGTCAAAAAGTCCAAGTCCGTGGCAAAGGAACTTCAGTTACTCTCCAGCCATTCAGGAATGTTCTCTTCAACAGATATTTATCCCTGTCCCTGGTAAGTTGAATGCATCACGTCACACACTTTCATGTTACACAAAGCCCATTAGTGAGTTATAGGATCCTGGGGACACCTTAGGAAGATGCTCCATTTTCTCAGTCTACTTACCTCCCTTGTCTAATTTCTCCTTCCTTTCCTACTTCCACTCAGTACTGTAGCCATTATGAATATGTTTCGGTTCCTTGATATGCCAGACATTCTTTTAACACTGGGCCTTTGCACATGGTATTCCTCTGTCTGAAGGGTCACCCCTCTTTGCCTAGTTAACTCCTACGGCCTTGGAGACCCGGCTTCAACTCCACCTCTCAGTGATGTTTTCCTAGCCCTCTTAGGTCCTTGCTCTGTGTTCTGAGATGTACACCTGGTACTCGCCCATCTTCTGTCCATCACCCTTTGTTATAGTTGTTTGGTGTCACTCATCCCTACTGCATGGTAAGAGCTTGAGTGTGAGGTCTCTTCTTGCTGCTGTCTTCTCAGTGTCTAGCAGAGTTCCTAACACATGGAAGGCATTCAGCAAATATGGAGTGATTTGTCAAAGTGCTTCGCATGTATTTGTTGGATAAGTGAATGCCTGAACGCCCTTAAAGAATAACGGGTAGAGGGTCTCAGAATTTAAAGAACACTGAAGTTCTCTTGGTACATCTAAGTTTTCTTACTAAGTAGATGCACAGGAGGCTTGCCTCCTCTGACTAATTCTCCTCCTTTACCCTCAGCCCATACTGATCACACCCTTACTTTGTCCCGGTTCTCCAGCTAGCACTTTCACGGTCTGTTCTTGCCTTTTGTTCTCCAGATGTTTCCTGGGGTTTGTGTCATGTCTATAAACTGGTATTCTCTATAGCTCCTAGCATAAGCCTGCAATTAGCAGATGCTTGATTCACTGAGCAGCAGGCATTTGAACGGGGAGTTCCACAATCAGAGTCTTGCAGGAAGAGTACTTTGGTTTGCGGGGGATGGATGGGCTAGATGAGCCAGACCTAAATGGGAGTTTAATAATGACTTACAGCACGGACGGGTGATCTGAAAGCAGACTCACCCTTTGTCTTCTCCCTCCGTGTCGTAAGGCCAGCTCTCACTTGGGGACCCTGGGAATGTTCTTTCCATACTCAGGACTTACCCTCCACCCAATTCCACCCCCACAGTCATTTTCCGTGCTTAGGGTGTGATTGTGCCTCACTGATTGGATTAAAAAGTCCTTTGAAGAAAAGGACTGTAGTTTACTTTTCCTCATCCAGCCCTTGCAATTCCTGACCATTATAATGCCTTGCAGATAGTAACTGCTGAGTGAACACGGAGAAACAGAAGCCTTTATGACATGTTGAATGAGGCTGAATGGTGGTGAGGGGCATAAAGAGGGATGAGGTTCTTCTCCAAAAACAAAAAAGTGCTTATTGAGAGAGATGCAGCTGACCATAGGACAGGCGGAACTGAACAAGTGCCATTCAACAGTCTGAACAACATTCTAAGGGAACACAGAATGGTCACTTCCTTCTGGAATGCATAGGGAGAAGCAAGAGAAGGTGGCACTGGAATTGGATGTGGAGGAATGAAGAACCTTGCAGGTTGGAAAGAAGCAAAGAGGGGCTAAGGCACAGAGTTTAGGCACTGAGCCCCTGGACTGTGGGGAGGGATGAGTCCTCGGGCCTGGACGGCTGCGGTAGAAAGCTTTAGATGAGCTGAGGGAACTTGTCTCACAAAGCAGGCTGGGGCTAACCTGGGGAGGCCTTGATGCTGTGTCGGGGCTTCCTGCCACTGCTGATGAGGATTCCAATAGCAGAAAGATAGTGCAGTTGAGTAACGTCTCTCTGGTCTAGCTAAGGAGGACAATCAACTGGAACTATGATTGTCCAGGAGCAGGTGGGGCTGATGGTGAGGGCCAGTGACAAGTGTGTTACGAGGTGGAAGT